CAGTGAGGATATATGACATCCGTGTAATTGGAATTCCAAAAGCAGGGAGAAGGAAAATGGAGCAGAGGCAATATTTGAAGCTACTATGACTTCGATCATTCCAAAATAGATGAGCTCCATCAAGAGAGGGTCAAGAAGCCCTACAAATGTCAACTAGGACTTTAAAAAACATATCAAGTAACACAAGAATAAAAGAGTGGTAAAAGAGCAAAGTGATAAAAAGAATAGAGTAGGGGCTGGCCTGGTGGCGCAGCGGTTAAGTTTGCATGTTCCACTTCTCGGCAGCCCAGGATTCGCCAGTTTGGATCCCAGGTGCGGCCATGGCACCGTTTGGCAAAAGCCATGCTGCGGTAGGTGTCCCACATATAAAGTAGAGGAAGATGGGCATGGACGTTAGCTCAGGGCCAGTCTTCCTCAACAAAAAGAGGAGGATTGGCAGTAGTTAGCTCAGGGCTAATTTTCCTCAAAAAAAAAAGAATAGAGTAAAATTGCTGAAAATGAAGGACAGGAAGGAAAAATACAATCTGCCAGGGAAAAATAGAGACTGCTTTCAAAGGAATAATGAAAAGATTGATACTTAACTGTACAATAGAAATAATACAAACCAGAAAAAAATGGATTAAAATATTCAATGGGCTGAAAGAAAATAGGTGCTAATCTATAATCTTATACTTGGCAAAATTATTCTTTAGGAGTGAAAGTAAGATAAAGTGACTTTCAGGTAAGCAAAACAAGTAATTTATACCCCTCAGATTTGTATTAAAGGACTTGTTAAAGGGTTTTCTTCAGGTAAAAGAAAAACAATTCTTTACGGAAACTCAGAGATACAAGAAAGAATAAAGAACAACAAAAAGGATAAATATGGACATAAATCAAAAGCAAAGATTCTCAAACTTTAATGTAAATTACATTACAATCACCTGAAAGTCTGGCGGGAAAACATTGTGAGATCCCACATCAGGATTTCTATTGCAGTATGTCAGGGATGGGAATTTACATTTCTAACAAGTTCCCAAGTGATGCAAATGCTGTTGATCTGGGGCCTACACTTTAAGAACCACTGAGGAATACTGGTTATATAAAACAGTGATGTCTTGTAGGGTTTAAAATTTACATTGTATTAAAATCCATGCATATATGGACAAGTATTTCGTGACAATGACAGCCCTTCTGTTCAGTAGGAGAAAAAGATAGTCTTTTCAATAAATGTTGCTGAGCCAACTGGATACTCATATGTGAGAAAACAATTACTTGATCCCTTCCTCACACCATGCGCTAAATTCAGTCTCAGGTGGATTGCAGGTTTAAATGTGAAAGGCAAAAATAAAACTTCTAGAAGTTAACGTCAGAGAATATCCGAGTGACTTGTTTAAGATATTCCTGAATAGAACCCAAAAAGCACTGTTTATAGGGGAAAAATTGAACTACATGAAAATTTTAATTTATGTTAATCAAAAGACACTATTAAGACAGTGAAAAGATAAGCCACAGACTGGAAGAAGATATTTGCAACACATGTAACTGACAAGGGGTTCATATTCAGAATCTATAAGGAACTTCTGCAAGTCAATAATAAGAAACTCACTATAAAAATGGGCAAAATTCTTGAAATGACACTTCACACAAAAGACTATGGCCAAAAATTGGCAAAAAAATATGAAAACTTGCTTAACCTCACTAGTAACCATGGAAATGCATATCAAAGCCACCACTTGATACCCCTGTTCAAAATCGGAATGGACAACTCTAAAATGATGGCAATACTAAGAACTTATGAGAATGGGACACAGTGAGAAATCTCATATACTACTAAGGGGAGGGTGAACGCAACCATTTGGAAAATAGTTTAGCATTATTTACTGAATTTGAAGATGTATATCCCGTATGACCTGGTAATTTCATTTCCAGGTATGTCCACGGGCACTGAGAGATGTGTACCAGAATGTTTATACATCATGATTTCATAATAGCTCCAAATGGAAGACAACTCAAATTTCCATCAGCAGTACAATGGAGAAGCATATTGCTTATAAAATGGGATTCCACGCATCATCACTGAATATGGATGAACTAACTACATGCAACAACATAGGTGAGTACCACAAACATGACATTGAATGAAAGCAGCCAATCACGAAATTACATCAGAATGATGACATTCATTTAAGTTAAAAAAAAAAAAAACAACAGGAAAAACTAAGTTGCAGTCTATAATTACTTAGTCTGTCGGATTACATTTAAGGAAGTGATTACATTTAAAATGAAGATTGATGGCTTCCTTTGTTGGGAAGGAGAGGCCAGGAGTTAGGAGGGAGAGGCGGGCTTTCTGGGCACTGGCAATGTTCTCTTCCTTAGCCTGGGTGGTTACTTATACAGGTGTTGGCTTTGTAATGTGTCATTGAGCTGTACATCTTGTTTCAGGTCTCTTTATGTATATTTTATTTAACAATAAATGAGATGAAATGTTTTAAAACATAAATTACTTATTCTACCCATTTGAAATACAGCAGTAAACTAATCTGTCCTTTCAGGTTGCTTGAAAATACCTGAAGTCTTTCACTCAATTATTTTTCCAATAATGCCGTAATTAATCCTCTTCTTTTGTTAATTTATTCTCATATTCTAGTTCCTACAGAACTTTGCATTAATTTGGCAAAGTAAATTAATATTGAATGAGAATCAAATGTTCTGAAGTCATTTGGATAAACACCATGTTGAATTCTTAGATGGCTTTGTATATTTATGTTGGTTTTAGAACTGACTTCAAATGTACAAGTAAAGAGAGACTAACAGTACAATCACTGGAAGAAAGACTCAATAGTCTGTAAATATAATGAAAAATATTTTTATGTCTACCTATTGACCTATTCCCAAAACCCCACTGCATGATAGAAGCTATTTATATCATATATTGATATATTAAAATGAACCTTATTTGAGGCAATTCTATTATTGATAAATTATAAAAATATCATTAAATATAGGTCACACCATATAACAGACCAACTAATTTTATTTTACTTTATACATTTCTTTCTAAAAATGTGGTCTAATATTTTCATCTCAGAGAACAAAATTAAACAATTGGCTTGTAAGCACCTTGAAGGATCTAAGATTTAACCCTACTTTTTTTTCTTTTTTAAAGATTTTATTTTTTGTCTTTTTCTCTTCAAAGCCCCCCAGTACATAGTTGTATATTCTTGGTTGTGGGTCCTTCTAGTTGTGGCATGTGGGACGCTGCCTCAGCGTGGTTTGATGAGCAGTGCCATGTTGGCTCCCAAGAATCGAACCAATGAAACACTGGGCTGCCTGTAGCGGAGCGCGCACACTTAACCACTCGGCCACGGGGCCAGCCCAGGTTTAATCCTACTTTTAAGTTAACAAGTTAGCTGGCCACAGTTTCATGAATGCAGGTAGCAGATGCAAAACTCCAGAGTTAGAGAAGAAAGACTCAGCCGCAGCAGGTGGTCTGAGTATCAGCATATTTTGTGCTGGTTTCCTGAGGCCCAGTTCCCACAAGCCTAAGAGAAGAGGGTTGGGTAGTATTTGCACACACAGTGGGTGGTGTTACAGGAGTAGCTCTGAGTTGAGGGAACCTAAACCCAAATAAGCCTGACTGCTCTTTGCTCAGGAGAGAGACACTATCTCTATCTTGCAAAGCTCTAAGCAAACCTACCCCTCGTTCAGATGGAGGTACTATCTCTAGCTTGCAAGGCTCTTCCACGGTTGTTCACTATACACACGGCCTTGAAAAGATAGTCTGGAAAAGACAGCAGTTAGTGCCTTGCTCAAAAGACATGCATGAACACGAGAGATCCATGGGGAACTCTCTCTCCATATTGCTAATGGATAAAACCTCTTTATACTGTTGAGATAAGACACATTTTCTTCAATTTCTAGAACAGTGGCCAAAACGGAATTTTTCAAAATTTTCTGAAATGGAAACCAAATTATTTAACGGTTAATATTAGATTCAGAATGCTTTTGAGAGTCATAATTACATAAAGTCCTAGAAGGGTCTTCAATATATAGAGTGTGTATATGCGATATGCACACATTTACAGAGTTTATTTTCTGCCTCTCCCACTTAAAATGTAAATTCCTTGAGAATAATGACTATATGTGTGTGGATACGTGTGTGTTTGTGTGTGCGTATGTGCGCATAATTCATTTTCTTATTCTGGTTCCTACATTACTTTGCATTAATTTAACAAAACAGTACAGGTCTGCCACCCCTCTCTTTCTTTGTCTCTTTCTGTCAACACTATCAACATGAGAACAAAAACAACGTGTGCGCCTGTAACCTGAGGGTTCTATTAGTCCTCAAAGGTGACAATGTTTTCTTATCTTCAAGATCATCTACCCATAGAATCGAGGATAATGCCCCGCCTAGCGGGTCTCAGTAAAGATTTCTTGCATTGAGTTGACTTGAACTCAGGACCCGGTTCTACAGTCTGTAAGCCGAAAGTTGCCCTAGTGACGTGCTCAGTAATACATGTTGTGCTTTGAGAATAGAAAACATTCCTTTTCCTCAAATCCATAGACAGTCATCTTAAGCTCAAAGACTCCTGTTCATTTATGATGATTCTAGAATACCGATGAAAAAAACTGAGGGAAGGATCATATATGTCTCCACAAATATTTGCTTTATTGTGAGATGAGAAGAGAGTCAAGGAGGACCTATTTTTCCTTCCTGTGAGCACCGTTTATTTTATTTTATTTTTCCGGTGCTCATTTTCATCCTCTTCAAAAGGAATTTAGCAGCCAGAGTTTATGGATGAAATACTATTCATATAAGTTCCTCTGGAGGCTTAATCATCAACACAATGCCTTGGAACCACTCTAGTCTTCTTTTCTAAATTAAACATTTGTGTCAACAACAAACACAGAAAGTACAAAATGTTTCTGTACTCCTTCCACATCAAAATTACCTCCTACGGGAACTAGAAAATGTGTGTCAATGTGAATTACCATCTACAACAGCTACTCGCCTGGCCGCTCAGGGGTCTTGTACACAAAGGGTGAGCGAGGGGCGTGGGGAGGCTACAAGACGTCGCTGCCCCGCCTGGCCAGGCGATGCTCGTCCGACTAGCCTGCCGGGGAGTGGGGACAAGGAGCAGGCTTAACTTGGGGCTCGGGATATTTGAATGCCGCGGAAATTGTCGTTCTACCCCGACGGGTGAGGGAGCGGAGAGCGGAGTGCGTGCGCGAGCTGAGTGAGTGCTTACGTCGCAGCGAGATCTGTGCTGGGATAATTAGAGAGGAGTTGGGCTGTGCCGAGTCCTCTTTTAGCAGCGGCAGCCGGAGCCGCAGCAGCAGCAGCAGCAGCAGCAGTAGCCCGGAGGGGCGCGCCTGAGTCCCGCCACCCGGGCGCGCTCGGGAGAGGCCCGCGCCCAGTTGCAGCCGCCCCGCAGGACCCCGGCCCCGGCGGCTCCGGGCGCACAAAGGCGGCGGCCGCCCGCGTGGCCTTCTCCATCCCGGCGTTCGAATCCCGCTCCCTCCATTCTCCTCTCCCGAAGGCGAGGATGGCAGGGCCGGGTGAGGACCTGGGACAGCGGTGGCCCTAGCCGTGCACCCCCACCCCTTCTACTGGGAGAGGCAGCGGGCTGCTTGCGGACGATGTGGCCACGGCTGCTCCCCAGTGCGTCTTCGGCCCGGGTCCCCGCTACTGCCTCTCTTCTCTGCTTGCTCCATCCCACCGAGAGGAGTTGATGCTGCTGCCGCCGACGCCGCTGAAGCCGCGGCTGATGGATGCCAGGGAGTGCCGCATTGCTTAGCGTCCCCGCCTCCGGGTGTGCTGGTAGGAGCCGGCTGCTCTTTCTTCTCTCTTGCTTTGGGGTTATATAGAAAAGGTAGAGACATTTAAATTTTATTCTCCACTCCTCTTCTCACCGACCCCCCCCCCCCCCCCCCCTTTGAAACGTACGTTCCCACCTCTTCTCCCCAACCCCCCAGCCCCAGCGGCAAGTCCCATGAGATAAACGGCTAGAGGGAGGCAGAAGTTGGGGGTGGGGGTGGGGGGAGCCCACGCTGGTGCCAAAGCCACCAAAAACCGTTCTGGTGCCTTATGAGATCACGGTGTATCCAGGAGGGGAGGCGGAAGGTGCGCTCTCTGCAGCATCTCCACCTAATTGGATCATAATCATTTTAAATAAAATCCCACAAATGTCTTAAAAATAGCATATTTGAATAAGCAGAAGGAGAAATAAGCTCCTTTCCCCTCTTCTTTTTTTTCTCTCTCTTTTTTTTCTCTGGCGAAGACGCCCTCTCCCCGCCCTGGAGCTCAGCGCTGAAGAGCCACCTTATTATTAATCAGAATTCCCATCGTTATCCTGGCAGGCGCATCCTTCAGTGGGTTCCGCAGAAGCATCACAGAGCTGGGGCTGAGATGTGCGTGGGGGTTGTTTGTGTTACATCTTGGAAGAGAAGAGTACAGTACCAAGATCAGCGCCAACTGTGCTGGGTGCGATTAGGGGTGTTTTGTTAGGGGAGAGAAAGGACAAGAAGAGGAGTGCTGGGTCCGCCAAAGGTCCACATCTCTTTAAAGAAAAGAGAAGAGGGACCCGAAGTGGGGCATTGTTTTTAGCGAGTGGAGAAAGAAGTTTATATAGCCCACAGAAAAGCTGTGGGAAAGCAGGAGCAACAGGGTTTTTGATTGGACACCAAGACAAATAATTTCCTGTAAAGAAGACGAAGCAGGCAGCTGCGAGATCTGGAGGCCAGAGTGTGGTGGTGGCAAGTGCCAGGTTTGCTGTGGGACGGTCAGCAAAAGGAAGGGAAGGCTCAGGAACAAGCAGAACAATGACTCATTTACAAGCTGGTCTCTCTCCTGAGACTCTGGAGAAAGCTCGCCTGGAGCTCAACGAGAACCCGGACACACTGCACCAGGACATCCAGGAAGTGAGGGATATGGTCATCACCAGGCCGGACATTGGATTTCTGCGCACGGATGATGCCTTCATCTTACGCTTCTTGCGGGCCAGGAAGTTTCATCACTTTGAGGCCTTCCGCCTTCTGGCCCAATACTTTGAGTACCGGCAGCAGAACCTGGATATGTTCAAAAGCTTCAAGGCCACTGACCCTGGCATCAAGCAGGCACTGAAGGATGGCTTCCCAGGGGGCCTGGCCAACCTGGACCACTATGGCAGGAAGATTCTAGTCCTCTTCGCTGCCAACTGGGATCAGAGCAGGTAAATCCTCAATCCAAACTTGCACAAGGGATATTTTTACTCTCCCATTTTCCAAAATTTACCCTGAATAGTCTCATAGTTTTACAGCTTTGATGTTTTTCATTTGGCTGGGAAAAAAGAGAAATTGGAACTAAAAAATGAGCTTTTGGTGGGTGCCCCTGGGAGTGGGAGGAGGGCTTTTATTTTTATCTTTCACACTCTTTCTTCACTAGTACCCAGTTTCTACTGCAGCTGTAAGTGCTTCCTGAACCATATTCTTGTGCTGCAATCATTCAAATTCTAAATAAAGCTGCTAAATTTTTTACCTTTTGAATAAGTCTACTGTTCTGTTGAGAAATGAGTATAAGAATGGAGACAACGTCTCCTCCTTCCTCCTTAAGAAATTCTTAAACTAGATTCATCATCATCATCATCATCATCATCAACATCATCATCACCTCCACCACCATCATCATCATCTCTCTCCTTAGTACTGAGGTTTTATTTTTAAGAATGCCTGGCATTCAACCAAGATCAAATAGTTTTATAGCTTGGGAACTTTTCTGCTTAGTGATGTGTAGACGAAGGAATAATATCATGAGTGTCACTTCAACGAAAAGGAAGAGTTGTAGCCTCTGTCACTGAGCATGCCTACTGACACTGAAAATAAAGGCTGACTGGTGTGCTTGCTCTACACCTGTCACTGATCTAAAGAATATGTTTCCTGTCTGATGTGATTTTTCATCTTTTGGAAGGAAGTGGAAAATGCTCAGATATGCGAGTTGGTAGGCTTTATGAGGTCTCTTGCTTTTTAATGGGAGAGAAATAATATCCTTATTTCACCTACGTTATAATGGAAGAAGGCAGAGAGTGACCCTTCTGCTGCTTCAATCAGAGTTATTTTCTCAGGCTGAAAGAAATAAGAAATCATAAAAGGCTTTTGTGTAGGGTAGTTTCAATTAAGTTCAACGTTAAATATATTTCATGGAGCTTAAAAATGTTACCAGAACTCTGAATCATAAGAAGCTGGTTGTTAAAATATTGGTGTATTTTTAGTTCTGTGAATGGTGACTTTGGATGCATCTGGTTAGTTTAAAGCAGCTCTGGAGCAATTGTAACAGACTTTTACTTTCTTACAGCGAGAAATCTTATAGGTCTTATAGCTCTCTAGATAGGCTTCTCAGAGTCTTAGGATCTTAGGATGTAAATTAATGTTTTCACCAGGTTTTTACTCTTTCATTGGTCACATTTTCTCTGTAATTCTAGGTTGAGAACTACTCTGATTAATTTTTAGGCAAATATAAAGACAAACTACTACCTGAAGAATCATAAAGCTAAGAAACTCATAGAGAGAGGCAGCCATTGAGGGGATGGAGTTCTGTTACTTACCTAGGTTAGTTACAGAAATCTTACTCCACTTTTTATCTGGTATCAAAGTTTAAAGGACCATGAAATGCCATCATTTGACCACAGTTTCTCTTTAAAAAGTTTTTATTTTTTTATCTGCCACATGTACATTGTAAGGTCATGCAAACCAATTGTTGTATGTAACAAAATTCAAAAATTTATTCATGAAAGAACCTAATATTCCATATGTCAGTTAGATTGGAACTTTATTGAGCTACAGTGAAATGGGAGCTGTGGAAATTTTATATTTAAACGTGTCTCGAAGTCTGTTAAAGACATGACTAGGGGGACGGATTGCATTCAGAGAGACATGCATAAATGTCAGACCTATTTTCGTTTATTTCGGTAAGTGAACTAATATTCACACTGATTCATAAACTTAATTAAGATGAAAGTCACTTATAGTTCTCATGTATATGGGAAGTTGATTATTTCAGATTTACTAAGGAAACTATGTTTTAGTTGCCTATCTCATGCTTTTGTATAAAGGATAACTTACTAGTAATCAAAGTCTATCCCCCTGGAAATCTACAATGGGAGGAGATTTATTAATTGCTATACATAAATTTTTATTAAATCTACACAAAATCTTAAATATTAAAATTTTGTGTGTATGAAATTAAAAATGAGAAGCTATGTCCTGTAAAAATACCCTATCAGGACCTATAGACTAACAATTGTGAATTTTATTTCTATGGTTGGAAATGAACAGGTATAATCAAGAAGTTAGAGTGTATCAAGGTCAAAAGGTGTGCAGTTATTTAGAGCTTGTTTAAAATTCAGTTAAGTTTCCTCCTCCTCTATTCTTTAAAAAAAAATGTCATTCTTTCCTCCTCCCTACTTTCCCCCCATCCCAGATCTACATAGACCCAATAACAAGGACTAGTGGATAAACAGGTCTATCCTCTTGGCATCCTCTGTAAATCTTAATCTTTGGGATACGGGCCTAAGAACTGCCCCGAAACCTGCAAGTCAGCTGCCTTTCTCACAGCACCAGGGTGTCACCAGCCCTTCTCCTACCTTTGGCCTGAATCCCCTTTCTTCCTCCACTCTCCAGAATCAAGTCTTATCTGACCTGACTACTACAAAAGTCTCAGCTATCTTCCCTAGGTGTTAAACTTGCCATTGCTCTGTTAGGTGGATATGACACTTGCCAAATTCTCTTGCTCCTCATCCCTCCTCTGTTTTGTGAATCAGATGTCTCCCCTTCCTGCGCTGATCGTCCAGTATAAACAACCTGGGTCTCTGGAGAAGACCGCACATCTGAACAGAATTCTGACCACTTTCCTTGAGTTGGTCAGTGAATTACCTGGTTTTCAACAACTTTTCAAAAAGTAGCATTGTTTCAAAGAAATAAAATAACATTGTTTTAGAGAAACAATAGGTGGGAATGTCCAGGATTACTCAGGGAAATTCCAGAAATGTGGTCGAAGAAAACAAGTTGTTTCCAACTTCCCAAAGGGAAAAGCAAGATTTTTTTAGTGAATTTTAAAAACTTTTGCAAAAACCTCTGAAATAATTGATCTGTATAACAAAATAAGACCAAGCCTTACATTATATTTATAATAGCACCTGAGCTTGAGTTAATCCTCAATAAATATTTGAGTTTAATTGAGCTATGCATTTTTTTTAAAGAAATGAATTCTAATTAGGAAGTTATCTGATACTTTCTCCTATATTAAATTTGTAGGACAGTTTCTGTGCTCCTCAGGAGACTGGAAACAGTAAATGTGTGTGAGATGGTGACTATAAATAAAATAGCGTCTCTTTCTACTGCAGAGTAGTGCAGGTCAGTTTCAGGTTATTGCAAAGAAATGGACCATTTCCAAAGCCTTTACAAAAGACGTGGAATCTTCAAGAAGATAAAGCTCAAATAATAATATTTACAGTGTACTCACCTTCTAATAAATCTAAAAACCAACAATCGAAATACTGAAATGTTAAAGTGACTCTCAGTGTGGTCTGCGGTTTTTTAAAAAAAGAATAGAACAGGCTCAGATGATTTATTACATTTGTTGAACAGGCTGTACCTTGGAAAAGCTTCAAACAATTCTATCTCCTTGTCTAGCATAATTTGTGAAAATAAAAGTAAATTCCACAAAATTAGAAACGAGTGGATTGCTGTGCTACATCCATGGGATGCGGTAGCCTTCTGTGCATTGCATGCAGTGTTTCTTTCTTGAGTGACAGTGTCCTGCTTAGGACTTGGCAGGTACCTCCAAATTGTCCACCTGATTTCAGCACCAGAGTGTGAGGATAACGCACCATGAAGCTAGAAGAAATAACATTACCTTAAGAAAAGGAAGTTTGGAATGAAAGTAGATATGGTCTAGACCCTAGGGCATGAGAGCAGATATCTGAGAAGTTGAAATCCACTGGCACCTTATCATTGGGAGTATTCATGAGTTAAATTTGTGTCACCTGAAACAGAATAATGACATGTAGTCTGATAGCTGGCCTGTAATTTGTCAGTCAGCCTGCAAATTTTACCTTATTAAACTTATAAAGGAGTTCTCCATACTTTAGTACAGGAAGCAACCATTTCTCTGGAATCTGAGTAATAGCCATTATAAAACAGTTAAATACAGCTGAACTGAAATGATTCTTGATATAGTGGCAATTCAGAAAGTACAGACCATCTTGCACTATGTTTGGCTTGTCCTAATGGACATTGATTATCACTTACAGTACTGAAGCTCTAGAAGGGTTCTGTAGAAGACTGACTGGTCAGACATTGCTATGGTCCTCTAACTTATCCTGGAATTTGCCTAAAAGACATTGTTTTCAGTTTGTTCCTATTACGTGGATTTTTCATTAAAAAATAAAATATTAAAGAAATGATCACCTATTTGCAGCTTCAGATTGAATTATGATTATGCTCCCATTTATTAAAATAATGTGGGCATTCTCCAGATTAAAATAAGGTTATGATGATTATAGATTAAAATTTTAAAAATAGCCATAGACTATACAGGTTTGCTTTAATCCGAGGCACAATGCTTTACTCTTCTCTAGAAGTAAACTAAAATAAGGTAAGACAAAACAAAGTAAAAATGACTAGGAACAGATTAATACAGTCAAGGACAATTAACTAGATAATTAGGGAGAAAAACTCATACTCAGTAATCTTGAAAAAAAAGTTGGCTTAATATTTTTGGCCTGATTTTTCAAGGCTTCTTGTCTCAGTTTATTAAGGTAATAAAATCTTCCTCAGCTTTTTGCTTCACAGTGTTAGATATCTGGGCAGGGTCAGGAATCCTTACCTGCAAAATCCTGGAGGTGTTCTTGTGCTGTGCTATGGGTGGATCTTGAGATGAAGTCAAAACTAGCAAAGGCAGGCGTGGATTCCATGGGGTTTCTGTCCCAGCAGGGCTTCAGTGTCGCCTCCTCATAGGGAGACCCTTAACAAATATTCTGGAAACTGCAGCTTATTCCAAACTATGCCCTTGGTTCATACCATGGAAAATGGGGGATAGAAAAACTTTCCTGAGAAATCTTAGTGGCATATTGGGACAAATCTCTGAAAAAGTAGGACAGTCCCTAAAAATTGGGGCAATTATGCAGTAATTAGTGACATAATCCTGAAATAATAGCAAAGACCAAGAGTGCCAGCC